AACCATTGTCTGTGCTAGACCAGAAATTTTCTTTGTAATGACTTAAGTCGTCGCCTAAAGTAAAAATGAGTCTATTAAATAATAAAAGTACAAGCATCTAAAAGATAAAAGCTACATGCTTTGACATGCGGCTCGTCCTGAATGATATTTTTTTGGATCATCATAACAAGTGGTACTCACTGGAATAAACTAAAATATATTTATAATCAATTATTCGTTCGATTTAACTCATTTATCTGACAAAATTACTGAAAATATGTAAATAGTTAACCATAGCAGAAATAAATCAGTTCTTATCAAGCACATATAAATGATCATAGAGTTCTTCTAAACATAGAAAATCGACCCTGTCATTTTTGTATTTTTCTTTTTCAACCATGAAGCATGTTCCTCATCAAATGAGGATGCTAGTAAATTTGTATCTAATTTGGATATATGTTCTTGTTGCATACGTTTTAAGTCGTCAACATCACGTCGAAGTTCTTCTTTATTCAAACAATTTGTTTCTTAGAATTCGAAGCGTGATAAAAGTTCAATAATATCTGATTTTATCTAAACATGAAAGTAATGGTAGAATTGAATTTATTGGAGAGGAAAATAAATCATCTGTTCGTTGTTGACCATTTTTAGTTGCTGATTTCCATCCACGTTCAGTTGATTGACGTTCTTCAATTTTCTGAATAGAATCATTTTCTCCCGTCATTGAAAAACAAAACAGTTCAATTAATTATTTTGGCTCCTGTTCAAGATCTCTATGACATTGAGTAACTAAAATTTTCCATTCCTATTAGAGCTTGTTTTACAGCGTCATTATCTGCAATAGATGTTTTATCACCAATAATATCACTGAAATAAAAACCATCAGTAGTCGGTGGTGGTCGAGCTGCTTTATTTTTATATGTACTAATTCATATTTGATTTTTAGCTTGTTGAGATTTGGCGAGTTCAAATGAATTGTTTACTTCTTTGACAAGCCATTTATGTTCATTAGTTGCTGTTGAATGTAATTGTTATTCAAGAAGTAATGTAGACAAGAGAACATTATGCTGTTGTTTAAGTTCACCATTCGAACGCATATGACATTGTAATTCAGCATCGGTTTGTTCCACCTTGTTATTTAACAATTTGTGTTAATTCAGATAGCTTCATGCTTTTATTTATCAACTATTTCAAGATTATCTTTAGCATAAATATTATGTCTTAATTCCTGCATAGATTTCTTCGCTTTTAATAATACATTTTATTCATGAAACTAATAATTCAATCATAATCATAATATTTTCAGTTGACATTGACCGTTCTGGTTTAATCCGTGTAAGTTGTTCACTGGTCATACCGAGATGGATTTGTTAGAAAATAAAGCATGATAAGTGCATCGAGAACAGTAAGAATATCTTCAAAACCATATCCTGTTTCTCAACGCATAGAATGAGGAATAGCAAGTTCAGCAAGTAACTAAATACGTAAAAGGCAAAATGGGAAAAACTGTAGACCATTGTTCTTTACTGCATTGAGAGTTTCTACAAGATCTTGAATTGTATATGGGTTAGTTCTACACGTATTAGAAAGAAAGAAAGGGTGTGGGGTATGGGCGTCAAAAGAAGTCTTGTAATCTCATCCACACCAACACCCACACCCTAGTTTTCCCAAAAGTTTGACTGCTTGGACAGATGCATCCTTAATGAATTTTAATGCCGATATATTGACATTTACTAATCCATCATCAGTCTACTATTTGGATAACCCGTCAACAGAACTAGTGGATCAAGTTGTTCAAGGTGCAAGTCGATTAACTACTCAACGAGTAGTCGATTTTGTTCGTGTTGCTGCGAGAATTCTTAAAGCATACAAATCTCGACAAGATAATATTAAAGATGCTGATAATGTATGCGTTCTAGACAAATCCATTGGATTACTCTTTTTTCTTCTAGAAAATAAAACAATTTAAACAAGCTATTTTACGAGGGTGTGTGTGTGGATGAGATTACAAGACTTCTTTTGAAGCCCACACCCCCACACCCTCTCCATTTATTTACGATTCGGAAATAGGTTATCTATTTGGTGGAAGTTTAGAAGACAAACTTCAGGAAATTGCTGATGAACCACTCAATCAGGTAAAATAAGTATATTCCATGGTAGAGATATTAACTAGAGAGTATATAGATCGAGGGATACACACAAAACGAAAGCTCATTGCTGTTAAGCACTGTGAAAATATTTTTTTCTATACGATTGTTTCAATAGGTCAATGGTTTTATTTTATCAGCTCTTAAATATTCATCACTTAGTCCTTTACGCGGTCTTGCTGCACGAATTCGTGTAAGTCATAACAATAGAAAACAATTTTTAGGGAAAGCCACATTATCTTCGCGATAAATTCGACTTGAAATACCACTTCGTAAAAATTACCAAGCCTTCGTCGATGTTTCTGTTATAGTTGAAAATGATCGAGTTGTACCGTCGTTTCTAAGTGTTAAATTAGCATTTGATGGTGTTCGCCGTGAAACACTTCGTTTACCATGGGTTGATGTTGCGATAATCAGTGAAAATCTTGATTGAAATTTTGCTGACTATTTCTTACGATTAGATCCATTGAATAAAAATCTTAATGATGATGAAAAAAGTCGACATAAAACTAATTTGCCATCCAGATTAAAACAACATCAAGATGTGAGTAAATTTTGAATCTCAAGGAGAATAAAAACTTCTGTTTGTTTTCATAGACTTATGATGCAAAAGAAGAAGATTCTAATCCATCTGTTCATCTCTATTTGAGATTATTTGATACGGATGTGCGCGCCAAAGATCCTATCATTCGTATACCATTAGAAATCGGTGCTGTATCAGGAGCTGCTAATGGTTTGGCATTATATAAATCGGCACAAGTTGCCGCACTTGTTGATTTAACAATGGGTTAGGAGTATATTCAATGGCAAATCGATCAGCGAAAGTCTGAAATTTTTATGAGCATGAAAAAAGAACGTTTCTGTTTTTTTTTAGATTAAGTTTTTCCTTAGCAATTCAACGTGAAGTATCATCACCATTGACCACTGTTGGTGAAACAGTTTAAATCAGTATTCTATCATATGTTCCATTTGAATATAAAATGGAAGCCAATAATCAAGGACGTACACGTGAATTTAGCCTTCTTAAGCCGAATTCAAAACTTTTTGCAATAGATTAAAGAATTCTATTTCTGTCTAGCGTCCAATATGCAACACGTAGCTACATCAGACGACTTTGAACTTGTTCCAAATAAAAAAACACCCAGTATTGATCCATCATGTACATTCAGTGCCTTTTATCGTACATTAGGCGTACGACTATGCGTAGAATTTAATTCCTTCCGTTCAATTCAATGCGGCAAACGAAATTCATATCCAACGGTGTTAAGAAATCAATCTTTGTCTTTAACTAACTGTCAACAGAGATCCATCCATCAAAACTGACGTCTTGGTTGGCGTTTTAATGCTCAAGAAGCACCACAATATGAAGTCATCATTAAAAAAGATGACACAAATCAATCCTGTCCCGGTATATTGAAAGAGACTCGTACATAGGATTAAACGCCGTCTTTCTAGGTTTGTGTGTGTCTGCTACAAAAGATGTCAATAAATTCGATATTAAAGTTTTAACTGGCACGAAATCGTTCAATGCTAAAGGAAAAACAAAACAAAAAAAGAATATTTTTTCGTATTCTATTATACATAATAGGTACACAAACGGGTGAGACATTTAGTGGTACAGTATATTCAAGTGACAACAACGAAGTAATGACAACATCTGGAACATTGGCGATTACTAACGATGGTTTTAAATTGAAAAGTAAGCTTTTTGATATTGTAAACAAAAAAGAAGTCGTAACATTAACAACTGATATTCTGCAAATCGTGGACAAGGTCTTCCAGTTAATTTTGGTTTAACAGCACCCGATAAAGCTAAATCATCTTTCATGAAAACACTATATTCTATTTGTGATCGTTTTATTAGTTCGTGGTGATTTATATTAACCGAATTCAAAAAAGTGCATATCAATGGAGATTTTAACTTTGGCGAAACATCATATAATCGAAAATTATTTTTCGAACGTGATGACAATCATACACGTATTGAATTGCAACGTTTATTTAAATTAGGTCAATGTTCATCAGCTGCCGGATACGAATTTTTTGTATGAACGTAAAACAAATAAACAAACCACTCAAAATAATTGTAATATTGCATCCCATATTTCATTGCGAACATCAGCTAGTGATGTATCCATGAAGCTATTCAATTTCAAAACAGATTTCACTCGTACCATTGATTCATCGAATGTAACACTACAAAGTTCACTTGATTATTTACTTGTAACACGTAATCCACCGTACACGAATTTTTTTCTTGATCATCGACACCGAAAGAGTTCGGAATCATCGAAAAAAGGTTTGATTTAATAGTTCTCTTTTTCTAATACTTTAAAATATATCATCGGCTCTCTCATTTTGTTTTTGCCTAGGACCTGCAATGCTTCCACCAGCTCTTGACATCAACAATAAGATTCATTTTGTTGTCGATACAAATAAATTATTTCCTGATATCCCAGGCCAATTTGCATGTGATATATTATCTGATCTTGATTTTCAATTACTCAATAAAATCAATTTTAAACTTCAATTCAATTCACCTCACCACCAACGTTCCGGATTATTTACATATCATGCACAAGTTGATAAAGTTACTCATGGTCATGTATTTTCTGGTACGAGTAAATCTGAATTACAGTTGGACAACAAACAAATACAAGTTACAGGTACGGGTGCTTTCCATATTTGTCGAAGATAAAAATGATATCTTCGTTTTGATAAACAACCTAACAAAGATTCACCAAAATCATTAATAACTTTTTACGGTGTTAAATTAAAAGCACCTAAACATAAATTATTTCAATTAATGGATCTTGATGGTAATCTAACAAAACAATCAGATAAATTCGAAACATGGAATTCAATCGATATTCGAACAAATAAAAAATTTAAAGCAAACTAATTTAAATGCTTTTATTTATCGTAATCTAACTGGTGATGATACACTGCAAACCCATATTTCATTTTCATTACCATTTAAATATCTACAATATATAACACACGATTTAAGAATTGAAAGATTATTTAAAACCGGTGATTTTGACTTTCTCGAATCAAGATTAATTGCGAAACCAGTTGTTGCACACTATGTCCTACTGGATACATCTTGTTCAGAAAAAACGTATATCCGTATAGATAATGAAATTGAATATTTACGTGGTAATGGAAATAGCTTATATGCTCTTTCGAAAATAGATATGTCATTTCATATCTTCATCGAAAACGCAAAAAATCGCACTTTCATTAGTTAGTCCATAAATATCGTCAAATCCATTGAGTACTATCGGAGAATTCACCATGGATCGAGAAAATCATATTGGAAACACGAAATTACCACAGGGGTTCTGTACTCCATTATCAAATTTAACTGCATTTCGCATTTTCTACAACTTACCCCTATTCAATAAAGATCATAATTCAACAGCTGATGAATCTGTTGGATTCGAAATTGTAAATATTTTTCTAATAGAATACCGCTCCAATTAGCTTCTATCTCCATTCGAAAGGTTCCCTAAATACATCACTTCATTTAGTCAAAGCTTTATGCAATGGTAATGATATTGCCACGCATAGTTCATTAAATGCTCAATACAATCCTCAATCAATCAGTCAAGTTAGTGCTATCATCAGTACAAAGTTTTACGGAAAAGAATTTCAAAATTCATTGTATGCTCTATTTAAACAACATCAAGGTATTGTACGGTTTTTTTTAAATACAACCGATAATCAAGATTATGCATACGAAATGGATATCGGTTTAGATACCGATTTACTTACAGAACATACGAAACGAACGAATGAACAAGAAACAGCTATGTCAGATATTGATACTAAAAAATGCACTGCAACTGGTAAATATTATCGTTGCTATAAAGGCGACATTACCGTTCGAACAGGCACTAGTATAGTTCGGAGAGTAAAGGTACATTTGATAATTTACATACTGGTCGTGTACGTGGTGCTGATTTTAGTTCAAAAACAAATATCGAAGGAAAAATCTTGCAACCGAACAAACGAGGTGCTTACAATTATTCAAGTTCAATTGAGAAGGAGGGTGGTAAATGAAATGATGTTCAAATTCAAACTTCATCAAACGATATGAAAACAGGACAAAAATCTGGCGCAACAGATATTCGTTTCAATCAAAAAAATAACTGATAAACATTCGGGACAATTTCAGGGTAAATTTAATGTTAATGTTGAACGTCAAGGTCTACCTGCTATTATTTCGTCAAGTGATTCATTTAGTTGTTCAAATAATCCATAATATGCTATTTATGGTGTGTCTATCCATTCGGTCAAGTAACTTGTGATGGTACATTAAATTTAGATTTAAATCGTTTGAGAGAAGAGGCTACTGATATTGATCTTTCATATCAAAAACGAGTTGATGAAAAACCGATGAGTCTGAATTTAAAGGCAAAAATATTCCATAACAAAATCCAATATCGATTAAATATGATGAAATAATTCAAAATTAATTTATAGTGGATTTAAATCGCTTTACAGATGAACGTATTGGATATGCAACGGCGCTCAATTTCAGCACCAGAGAAATTGAAACTACTTACTATACACTTGTAACTTCATGGAATATGAAACATCAATTCGGAAAATTATCCGCAATCACTGCTAAACAAAAAGATCAAGAAGTTCTACGTATTACAGCTTCAACAGCTGATTTTGCTGGATATAAAATAAGATTTTTAGCTGCCAATATTGAACTTAAGTAAGAGAGCCTGTAAAGATTTTTTCTAGTGTGGAGTTGATTTTCATGTTGAAATTTTAAAGAGAAATCAATATGTGTGTACTCATTGATATTTCTAGATCTCATGCTGATTCTAAATCAAATACTGTTTCACTTAGTGAAGCATATCCTCAACAACGAGATTATATCACAAGAAGCAATATTTAATGCGGTGCGAAGCACGGCATTCATGTAGTCCGTC